AGCGTTGCCCACAAAGTGAGTCTGTGAAACAAAAAGCCAAGGACAATACCGGATGAAGGCCTGAACCTGAATTTTGGGCAGGTGGCTGATTCCATGTCCCATCCATGAGGACCTGGAAGGAGGAAGATTCCTCTGCTGGTAATATGAATGCCTTATGCAACCTAGAGCTAGGAAGGGTCATGCCAGGAGGGGAGGTCCACTTTTCCAACCAGACACAGCACTGAAGACCTGTGCGGAAATGAGACCGCATGACAGCTAACAAATGCTTGGGAGAATGGCCACATAAAACCAATCCTCACCTAGAAAGCCCTCAACATGTGATCTGGAGGGCAAAAACACAGGGTCCCAGTGACACGAGGCTCAGGCAAGATGCCTCATACCTATCTCATTCGTCCATGTGCCCCACAACAATCCGCACACACAGTTGAGATACACATTTTTCTTAAATACTATTAGCACAGAGAGGGGCGTATGGCCAACTGAGCAAGCAAGATGGCCGGGGACACTCAGAAGACTGACATCAACTCCCACATCCTTAACCGCATATCAGCAATGAAGCCACCCACTGTAGAGAGCCCCGCAACTGCTGCCAAGGCAGGGCCAGTAGGATGCTGGGTGGGACAGCAATAAATCACAATCAGCCCCCACTACCGTGCTGACTTAGGGGAACACCACAGCACAACACACCTCCATCCCCAGCCAGCAGGCAGAGCTCTAGAGGGAGTTTTTCTATTTTCTTTGTTTTATTAAATGGAAATCTAAAGGGGGCAGTGAGCCTCCACTGTGCACCCCCTTAGAACCAGGCTCCATCAGATGGCAGGAGGAGTCATGCAGAATACGCTAGCACTGAATGCAGTGATGTCAGATCCTGATCTGATAAGGTTCTGGCATCAGTTAACAGTTGTATATTACACCAAAGGCTTCCTGGGGGGAAAAGAATTGAAAGGGACCACTACCGCTATTCACCAACTTGTGTTACAAACTGTCATGGCTGAATTCTGAACAACATGGTGTCCTTGACCTTTCACACAGCCTTGTGAGGGGCCCAGTATGCGTCTCCATTACAGAAGGTCCTTGAAATCATCCTGGAGACGTCAGGTAAACATACAGTAGAACTGATATTTTCATTTATGGTCCTGACCCCAAGAAATACCTCTGATTGTCTGCTGGTCCTCAGAAAAGCCATCTACCACATTGATCTATGTGTAGGGTTATTCCAAGCCCAGGTAATCAGGGAAGATTTCCTACTGGGGTCTCAGCAGTTCACAATACTAAATTCCTTTACTCTACAGGGGTACAAAGGTTGAGAAAAGTTGTTCTAGAAAATCCTTTCTAAGCCAGGGTTTTGTGGAGTCCTAGGGTTCCTCTAGAGCAGGGGTCTTGAATTTACATTTACGGAGGTCTGGTCAGCAAAATTTCCTTCCAGCAGAGCTCCGATTCTCGTTAGCGATATAACACATCACAGTCCTCCGGTACATTATGATCTTTAGCGTACTTTTCACACTGTAGTCCCCTCTACATCACACTCCCCTCTTTAAAGAAGTCCCACAGTGTCCTCTTTTCCTTTCACATCACTGATCCCTTTACATCACAGCGCCCCTTAACATAACACAGCACCCCTAACACAACACAGTGCCCTTAACAACACACCACATATATAGCAAAGACGGGATGTCTCTTTGCTGGATGGGGATGTCCCTTCTTGGACAAGGCTGTCTCTTTGCTGGATTAGGATGTCTCTTTGCTGAACCCAACTGGGCAAAGAGACAGCGCAGATCTAGCAAAGAGACATCACCATCCAACAAAGAGACAACTCATCCAGCAAAGTGACAGCCATCCAGCAAAGAGACAGCTCATCCAGCAAAGAAACATCCCGTTCAGCAAAGAGACAGCCCGTCCAGCAGAGACAGCCCCATCCACCGTTACTGCAGACCTGTCACAGTGTGCCAGCGAGTGAAGAAGAGAGGCCGCCGTTGTCCCTTCAGTGCAGCAGCTGGCCGAGGAGGTGTCCGTGTCAGCGGCGCTCCCTGCCGCTCCTCCTGTCGGCCCTGCTTTAGGCATAGCCCCTCAGCGGGAGGTGAGCGGAGGCTGTGGTCTGTATTAGACCAATCCAGACCGCGGTCGCCGCTTACCTCCCGCTGTGCGGCCCCCAGTCATCTTAAGCCCGGCAGCCCTGAGGGCGGGCACCCGGTGGTGGCTTGGCTGCGGTCCGAACAGGACTGTCCCTCAGTCTGGTTCTGGACCGCAGTCCACCATTTAGCGACCACTGCTCTAGAGGTTCAGGGAGACTTGAAAATTATTTTGGTGGCACCTCTATTTTTTATTGTTTTTAAAAATTTTGAAGTTTTGTGGGGGGGGGGGGGGAGGGTTGCAAGTAGCTGGTTTTGCCTAGGGTGCAAAATAGTCTAGCACCAGCCCTGCCACCAGGTATGGAACATTGTTCCCTCTCAGTCACAGCCTCAAAAGCACATGGAAGACACTTCAGTGTACATTTTGGATTGCCTGGCTGGGACTGGGAACCGCCTTGATAGGACCTTATAATTAGTTTCTATTAATTGGACATGAAGGAAGCTGCTTGTAGAGATTCCTGCTCTATGCATGGGGCAGGAATAGGTTCTTCACCAACATGTGATTGCTACTCTGCCTGAAACCACCCTCATGTCGCCCAGTCGGGGATCCAAAGGTATGGACCTGTGCTGGTGAAATGGACTTATGGACTAAAAGACCTTCTCACCTGTTAAAGGTATGACTACCCCATGGGGCAAAAGGGAGCACCAGGGGCACAGCTAAAGGGCACTTAGAGGACTTTGTAAAGGAACATGTATGGGGGACGTCAACATCAGTATCTAAAATGCCTGGGGAAGAAGAGGATTTAAGCTGGGATGGGGGATTTGTACTGGAAGAGGGGGAATCTTTGGGGAGAATTTTGGCTTTTTTTTCAGGGAGAAAATGAGGATTTTTGCTGACATACTTTTTTTTTTTTTTTTTTGGGGGGGGGGGGGGGGGTGATTGGCATCTGCACCCTGGGCTCTAGCTGACCTGGTCCTGGCACTGCTCCTGAGCGCATGGGTATGGTCTCAGTTATTATTAGAAAACTATACCTGACTATGAAAACCAAAAGGACCTAGTTGTAGAAAATTTCTTCCATGACTGCGACAAGCATTCATCCAACCAGCACAAATTTTGGCCGTGATTTAATTAACATAGTGATTTCCTTTGATCCTCAGCTCCATCTAGTAGCCATAAGGTGGTATTTTTCCTCCATCTGGAAAACTATTGCAATACCGCATTTTGACCACTAGATGAAGCCAAAGATCATAGGAAATGACTGTATGAAATTAAATAAGACCGACATTCGTCACATCTGGGTGAATGCTGGTCACATTCGTTCTATGCATTGTTTATAAAACAGACCTCTAAGTGTTTGTAAAATCTTCCACCACAAAATGTACTCAGCCAATGAAAGGTGATGACTCCATTTTTATTCTTCTCCTGCTATCAATGGCCAACCCGGTCCCACACTTCATCCACATCTTTGGTGACCTCTGATCTCCTTATGGACTCTTTCTTCCATGAAGATCAGCCATGGAGTATATCTGAGGTGTATATCAGGGTGTGCTTCTTCCCCACATGAGAGTTGGGATGTCCAGCAGCATTCATCTAGAAGACATTTCCCGCACTCAAGGCACTAATACACCTCCAGGGTTGTGTGGGATCCCTGATGTACAGGAAGACAGGACATCAGGGAAGAACAATTCCCTCACTCAGGACAGGAAAGTGGCTTCTCTCCCATGTGTGATCTCTGATGTCTGTAAAGACTAGACTTCTGTGAAAAACATTTCCCGCACTCAGGACAGGAATACGGCTTTTCCCCCGTGTGAGATCTCTGATGTATGACAAGTAGTGATCTTTGTATAAAACATTTCCCACACTCAGGACAAGAATACAGCTTTTCCCCTGTGTGAAATCTCTGATGTATGACAAGTTCTGACTTTTGTACAAAAAACTTTCCGCACTCAGGACAGGAATATGGCTTCTCACCTGTGTGCCATCTCTGATGTGCACAAAGATGGGATTTCTGTGAAAAACATTTCCCGCACTCAGGACAGCAATATGGCTTTTCCCCCTGTGTGAGATCTTTTATGTTTATAAAGACTTGAATGTCCTATAAAACATTTTCCACACTCAGAACAGGAATATGGCTTTTCCCCTGTGTGCGATCTCTGATGTCTGTAAAGATCAGACTTCTGTGAAAAACATTTCCCGCACTCAGGACAGGAATACGGCTTTTCCCCCGTGTGAGATCGCTGATGTATATAACAAGCAGTGATTTTTGTATAAAACATTTCCCACACTCAGTACAGGAATACAGCTTTTCCCCTGTGTGAAACCTCTGATGTGCGACAAGTTCTGATTTTTGTACAAAGCATTTCCCGCACTCAGGACAGGAATATGGCTTCTCCCCCCGTGTGTGCAATCTCTGATGTCTGTAAAGATGGGATTTCTGTACAAAACATTTCCCGCACTCAGGACAGCAATACGGTTTTTCCCCCGTGTGAGCCCTCCTATGTTTGTAAAGGCTGGAATGTCTCAAAAAACATTTTCCACACTCAAGACAGGAATACATCTTCTCCCCCTTATGAGACCTCTGGTGTGTGACAAGTTCTGATTTTTGTTCAAAACATTTCCCACATTCAGAACAGGAATATGACTTCTGCCCCGTGTGCAATTTCTGATGTTTGTAAAGAATTGATTTCTGTGAAAAACATTTCCCGCACTCAGCACAGGAATATGGCTTCTCACCCGTGTGAGATCGTTTATGAACACTAAGATTGAATTTAGAACGGAAACCCTTCCCGCACTCAGTACAGGAGAACTTCTTCTCTGTTGGAAGGCCGGCCCGGTCCCGCACAGTCTGAGGTTCCTCAGGATACGAGGATCCGATGGTCCATCTACACTGGGTGGTGCCGGATGGACATTGGAGGGAGCCGGGTTTTCTCCTGGACTATACTGTGTGATGTCCTCATCTTCTACTTTCCAGTCTGGAGACAAAGTGAGACAATCCTCGGAGGTTTTCCTCATCTCCCCGACCATGGACTAAAATACAAAGACAAAGAGGATTACTAGACAGGAGCTGATTGGTTCCCTCAAACCAGGACTCCGCCCACATCAGGCAGCTTGGTCTCTGAGGAGCTTACAATTCCACCCTCAAGGGAACTAGGAAATGGCTCCTCTGATCTCCTACCAGGTCATTTCTTTTTCATGGACCTTAGTCAGAGAGTGAGGAAACAACCAGAACTGTCTTTTATAGGAGGGACAGTGATGAGGGGATTATAGGACGAGGGTCCCCACCCCCTCTATCACTCATCGCCATCTTCCCAACACAAGAAGTACCACACTTCCTTATTTACTCCATGATTTAGTCATGAAGAACAGCGGGGCTGAGCCCCACCAGAGGTCAGAGAGTGAGGATGGGGGGAGAACAACAACCAAGATGAAGACTGGACTGATCCTAGAAACATAGACCACCATCATTGGCAGAAAAGACTGAGTGGTCCATCGAATCTGTCTTTTTGTATTTGTTAACTGTTTTATCTGAGTAGAGATCTATGTTTGTCCATTAATCATGTTTGAAGTCATTAACTAGTGACTAGCTCACTACCTCTCTCTGGAAGTCTATTCCTGGCATCACTACTCTTTCAGTAAAATAATACTTTCTGAGATTAGTTGTGAACTTTCCTCCAGTTAGTTGGAGGTCATGTCCTCGTGTTCTTGATTTTGGTACATGTTGAAAATTCTGCCCTCCTGAACCGTATTCACCCCCTTCATATATTTAAAGGTTTCAGTCATGTCTCCCCTTTCCCTTCTTTCCTCCAGACTGGACATGTTACGTTCCTGAAGTCTCTCCTGTTATGTTTTATCCCCCCCAGACCTTTCACTATTTTTGTTCCCCGTCTCTAGACTTGTTCAATCTTATCGATATCTTTTTGTGAGATCTCCAGAGCAGGGGTCAGTACTCTGAGATCCAACTAAAGATCTACAGTTGGTTCAAAAGTTTGCCTCCCCCCTGACAGAAATGGTGACATTTTGGCATTTATATTGAAAACATGAGTCTGATGATCAAGCCAAAAGTAATGTCTTTTAGTATTAGGGGGGTAGTGATGATATGTAAGCCATTTATATAGTCACATAGTTGTTTGGGATCCTTTCTAAATCACGATAGCAGAAATCCCCGAAATGGCCCGCATCAAAAGTTTCCCCCCCTGGAATGTTTATGGCCTTGTACAGACACAGAGTATACACACACAGGGGTTAAATGGCAATTAAAGGTTAATTTCCCACATCTGTGGCTTTTTTATACTGCAATTAATGTCTTTGTATAAATAGTCAGTGAGTTTGTTAGCTCTTTTACGTGGATGCACTGAGCAGGTTAGATACTAGTGCATGGGGAGCAGAAATGAACTGTAAAAAAACAAAGCAAGGCTTCGCTGCTGGTTTCCCTTACTTAAGATGCTGGTGCTTGCACCTGAAGCCGACTGAAATTGCTGGATCCTTGGACCAGTAAGTGTCCTAATATTAAAAGGCAGCAGCTACAGAATTTGTAGCTGCTGACTTTTAATTCTTTTGGTGACACTGCAGCTCCTCTTTAAATGTTTACTGTAGACAGGTTGCAGAGATCCCACACCGCTGCCTCCCATCTCCTGAGACTGCACTCAGTGACTTGGGTCTGAGACTATACAGACATATCCCTCCACCCGGCACAGCCAGCAGACAACAGAGCAAGTAACCCTGGGAGAATTGTTCTGTCAGAGATCTTACTGGACCTGGGAATGGAGAAGAGACCCAAATCACATGCACCAGTTGTCTGGGTCTAGTAACACTTATGGTGTAAAAACACATTTTGCTGCCAGCTGAACCCCAGAACCTCCATAAATCCAGTCTAGATACATAAATTGTGTCTGCAGCACAGAGAAGGAAGATTATCGAGAGAAATCCAGGAATACAGGACGGGGAACACAGCTCAGGAAAGTGACCAGGGGATTACAGGCTGATATCACCCAGTCCCCGCCCTACTCTGGACCAATCAGTGAGCAGTATGGGTGGAGGAATGGATTTAGTGTTCATGACCCACCTGTGCTGATCTCTGTAGGAGTGTCCTCCTCTATAAATGTCCCCGTTATTCCATCCTCCTCCATAGACTGCTGATCATCCCTCACATACGCCTCTTCTTCTTCTTCTTTAACCTCAACTTTTATATCTATCAGATCTTTACCCTAAACCAAGAAAATGGGAGAAAATATCATCTGCAAAATATAAGTTCAATTAAAAAAAATCCACACATTGCCTCCACTAGTCCATGTTCTAGATTCTCCATCCCACCAACCTTGTGATGGTGAGGGATGGTGTGACCTTCCTGTGTGGAATCCCGGGAATACAGAGGACGGGGACATCTCTCTGGAGGGTTCCTGGTATTAGGTGGCTCCATCATATCCTTGTGTCCTTCTGAAAAACTCCTCCATCACTCCATACTCCTCATCCTCCTCTTTATACTCTTCTTTAACATCAATATTATCATCCCCCCGAGGATTCCACTCTGAAAGATATAATAAAACATTCATTGTAACAAACATGCTGTGTATAAATCACAACTACCAATAATTGTCATCATCTACCTGATGATGGTGAGGGATGGTGTGACCTTCCTGTGTGGAATCCCGGGAATACAGAGGACGGGGACATCTCTCTGGTGGGTTCCTGTAGCTGGATGGACTCCACCATGGTGTCCTGGTACAGATCTTTGTCTCCTTTAGAAAACTCTGACTCCTCCATCACTCCATACACTCTCATCCTCCTCTTTTATCTCTTCCTTAACATCAGCTTTAGGATCTCTCAGGTTTCCACTCTGAATATATAATAAAAAAATGCCATCAATGGTAACAATGCAGATAATGTACAGATCCTAATGATACTATCAGTGATTGTTCCTCATCTACCTGATGATGATGGTGAGGGATGGTGTGACCTTCCTGTGTGGAATCCCGGGAATACAGAGGACGGGGACATCTCTCTTGTGGGTTCCTGGTATTAGGTGGCTCCATCATATCCTTGTGTCCTTCTGAAAACTCCTCCATCACTCCATACTCCTCATCCTCCTCTTTATACTCTTCTTTAACAATATTATCATCCCGAGGATTCCACTCTGAATATACAATATAAACATTCATTGTAACAAACAAGCTGTGTATAAATCACAACTACCAATACTTGTCAATCATCTACCTGATGATGGTGAGGGATGGTGTGACATGTGACTTCCTGTGTGGAATCCTGGGAACACAGAGGACGGGGACATCTCTCTGGTGGGTTTCCCATGACTGGATCCATCTGTAGGAAACAAACACACTCATTCTGTTTGACTGAATCCATACCAGTGTTTCTATGTGTTTAATTTATCACCCTTTATGGGGGATCTAGGTGGATCCTCCGTACTGCTCTCATATAGTCTCTCTTTACAATAAAAGTCTCCTCTTACCCGGTGATGTGAGGGGCGGCTGATTGTCCATCATGACGTCCTTGTAGAGATCCTTGTGTCCTTCTAAATACTCCCACTCCTCCATGGAGAAATAGACAGTGACACCCTGACACCTTATAGGAACCTGACACACACAATGATACAGTCACCATCCAGACACATCCCTTGTCTGTTACTGGAGAATGTCCCAGAATTCCCGGCACCGCTCACCTCTCCTGTCAGCAGCTCAGTGATCTCTCTGGTGACTCTCTTATTTATCTATAACAGGTGTCAAACTGGTGGCCCTCCAGCTGTTGCAAAACTACAAGTCCCATCATGCCTCTGCCTTTGGGAGTCATGCTTGTAACTGTCAATCTTGCAATGCCCTCATGGGACTTGTAGTTTGGCAACAGCAGGAGGGCCGCCAGTTTGACATCTGTGATCTATACTATCAGGGAGGGAGGTGGTGGCAATGTGATGGTCATACATACCCACCATGGGGGATGCGCTATCCCCTTTTTTAAATCTTTCAATACAAAAATAAACCCTAAGTGGTTACATATGCCTATTAATAAATACTAAAAAAGTCCATAATAGTGTGTATAGTCCATTTTCACAAATTCGGTGCTGTGCAAAGAAAAAACGTGCTGTCCCAGGAATAGGGTGGGGAGCATAGCAGAGCACCAAGCACTGATACTCCTTACAATGTGATGTCATATGATCTCCAGACTTCACAGGAGGAAAACTCTACATCTGAACACAAATAGTAACATCAAATGATATTCCCAGAATCCTCCTCACCTCTCCGGGTCAGGTCTGTGTTTTTATTAATAGAGTCAGAGTGATGTCATGTGACCTCCTCCCAGAATCCTCCTCACCTCTCCGGTCAGGTCTGTGTTTTATTAGTAGAGATAAGAGTGATGTCATGTGACCTCCCAGAATCCTCCTCACTTCACTGTTCAGGTCTGTGTTTTATTAATAGAGATATGAGTGATGTCATGTGTGACCTCCCAGAATCCTCCTCACCTCACCTGGTCAGGTCTGTTTTTATTAGTAGAGATAAGAGATGATGTCATGTGACCTCCCAGAATCCTCCTCACTTCACTGTTCAGGTCAGGTCTCCAATTTATTAAAGCCCTACTTCAGGCTGAGGTATGTAAATGTACCCATTCAGAACCCCTCCCACAAATCTATGGGTTAAAAGAAGGCATTCTGACATCAATACATACAGTAACAGTCCTGCTTTCCAAATGAAGATGTCAAGGGTCTGCCCTCATCATAACTGCATTGGAAAAAAAAGAGCCAGATGGAGGAACATTGGTAGGAAAATGTGAGGTCAGTGTGATGTCATAGGATTCTCTGACTCTGGATGGAGGAAACATTGTAGGAGGAGAGCTTCTGAGGTCAGTGTGATGTCATAGGATTCTCTGACTCCAATGGAGGGACATTTGGAGGAGGAGCTGTGAGTCAGTGTGATGTTCATTGGATTTCTCTGAAAACATATGAGCCAGATGGAGGAACATTGGTAGGAGGAGCTGTGAGGTCAGTGTGATGTCATAGGATTCTCTGACTCTGGATGGAGGGACATAGGATTCTCTGACTCTGGATTCTCTGACTCTGGTTGGAGTGACATTGGGAGGAGGAGCTGTGAGGTCGGTGTGATGTCATAGGATTCTCTCTGACTCTGGATGGAGGGACATTGGGAGGAGGAGCTGTGAGGTCGGTGTGATGTCATAGGATTCTCTGACTTTGGATGGAGGGACATTGGGAGGAGGAGCTGTGAGGTCGGTGTGATGTCATAGGATTCTGTGACTTTAGATGGAGGGACATTGGAAGGAGGAGCTGAGAGGTCAGTGTGATGTCATAGGAGTTCTGACTCTGAATGGAGGGACATTGGGAGGAGGAGCTGTGAGGTCAGTGTGATGTCATAGGATTATAAGACTGGTTGGAGGGACATTGGGAGGAGGAGCTGTGAGGTCAGTGTGATGTCACAGGATTCTCAGATTCCAGATGGAGGGACATTGGTAGGAGGAGCTGTGAGGTCGGTGTGATGTCAGGATTCTCTGACTCTGGTTGGAGGGACATTGGGAGGAGGAGCTGTACGGTCAGTGTGATGTCAGGATTCTCTGACTCTGGTTGGAGGGACTTTGGGAGGAGGAGCTGTGAGGTCAGTGTGATGTCATAGGATTCTCTGACTCTGGTTGGAGGACATTGGGGAGGAGCTGTGGGGGGCGCTCTGTGAGAGTTTCTGTACACAGAATCATTTCTCCCGGGTGCGTCCCACCTCTCCTAAACTGAAAGATGAACGTTGTCTTTGGGCTTTGCCAGGACACATCCTATCCCTGTGATCTCCGTGTTCTCTCCGGAGACTTTACTGATCACATTTCAGGATGAATATCTGAGACTGGGATCATTATGGAGAAATACGTTTTCAGGACATTTCCTACAAATAACAGTTTTCTCTCTTTCTTCATATTTTATAAAATAAAGACAAACATATTCCAATCCCCACTAAATAGCCCCCCCATCCCCCCGCCACTGATAAAAGTGGTATAATCCATTAGTATAGACTGATGGGGTGAGAGGGGTGACCCATCTCCACAATGAGGAGAATGTTCCGGCCCCGGAAGTGGGGGAATGTTCTGCCCCTGAAGGGGTTAATCTGGGTTCCCACACTATATATGTGTGTATCATCATCTGCTGGAGATAAAAGACGTCAACAGTGACTATGGAGGAAGAGGACGGACATGACTATAGAGGACGGACGTGACTATGGAGGAAGAGGACAGGACGTGACTATGGAGGAAGAGGACAGGACACGACTATGGAGGAAGAGGACGGACACAACTATGGAGGAAGAGGACGGACACAACTATGGAAGAGGACGGACAGAGGGAAGAGGACGGACATGACTATGGAGGAAGAGGACGGACGTGACTATGAAGGAAGAGGACGGACGTGACTTTGGAGGGAGAGGACGGACGTGGCTATGGAGGAAGAGGACGGACACGGCTATGGAGGAAGAGGACAGACACGGCTATGGAGGAAGAGGACAGACACGACTATGGAGGAAGAGGACAGACACGACTATGGAGGAAGAGGGACGGACGTGACTATGGAGGAAGAGGACGGACGTGACTATGGAGGAAGAGGACGGACTATGAGGAAGAGGACGGACGTGACTATGGAGGAAGAGGACGGACGTGACTATGGAGGAAGAGGACGGACGTGACTATGGGGGAAGAGGACGGACGTGACTATGGGGGAAGAGGACGGACGCGACTATGGGGGAAGAGGACGGACGCGACTATGGAGGAAGAGGACGGACGCGACTATGGGGGAAGAGGACGGACGCGACTATGGGGGAAGAGGACGGACGCGACTATGGGGGAAGAGGACGGACGTGACTATGGAGGAAGAGGACGGACGTGACAATGGAGGAAGAGGAACAGGACTATGGAGGAAGGACGGACGTGACCAAATAAGAGGACGGACTATGGGGAAGAGGACGGACGTGACTGGAGGAAGAGGACGGACGTGACCATGGGGGAGGACGGACGCGACCATGGACGGACGGATGTAGGAAGAGGACGGACGGCTATGGAGGAAGAGGACAAGAGGACGGATATGGAGGAAGAGGACAGACACGACTATGGAGGACGTGACAGACACGATGGAGGAAGAGGACGGACGTGACTATGGAGGAAGAGGACGGACGTGACTATGGAGGAAGAGGACGGACGTGACTATGGGGGAAGAGGACGGACGTGACTATGGGGGAAGAGGACGACGGACTATGGAGGAAGAGGACGGACTACTATGGGAAGAGGACGGACGCGACTATGGGGGAAGAGGACGGACGCGACTATGGGGGAAGAGGACGGACGCGACTATGGGGGAAGAGGACGGACGCGGCTATGGGGAAGAGGACGGACGAGGCTATGGAGGAAGAGGACGGACGCGACTATGGAGGAAGAGGACGGACGTGACTATGGAGGAAGAGGACGGACGTGACTATGGAGGAAGAGGACGGACGTGACGGACAAGGACGGACGTGACAATGGAGGAAGAGGACGGACAGGACTATGGAGGAAGAGGACGGACGTGACCATGGAGGAAGAGACGGACGTGACCATGACGTTCTCTGACCATGGAGGAAGAGGACGGACGTGACCATGGACGGACGTGACCATGGAGGGAGAGGACGGACGTGACCATGGGGGAAGAGGACAGACAGACATGACGGGGGGGGTTACTGGGTGTAAATAGGAAATAACATCTTATTACCTCCTCTGCTGCCACTTCCACCAATGTCTCCTCTCTACTTCTTCCTCCCTCCTCACCTCTCACCCAGAACTTCCTGTCTGTATTCCATAGACTTCCTGTCTGGGTAGAAGTGAGATCCCCACCTTGTGGAGCTCAGAGGAACTGCAGCCCCGAGAAGCATCTGGTAGTGTGACCCCGGCCTTGTGCTGTGTGAGTGCAGAAGTGAGCCTGATTTTGCACCCTTCGGCTTTAGTAAATAAACCCCATTATGTCATGTTTTGTGGACTTCTTCTGTAGGATAATTGACATGTAATTACAGCACACTAGCAATTTTTGGACATCATGCGATATCTGCTCAGGATGTTTATATGTAAAAACAGACAAATGTTTTTGTATATGAATAGTTTGCACAGTACTTAGTATTTTTTATTTATTTATTAAATTAGCGCAGTTGTTTTTTTTTTTTTACATTAGTTATATACTGTAAGTGCTGAATTGTTGAGAACATCAAAGCAGCTGCTGGGAATATAGAGGTAGAAAGAGTTCACAGAAAAAAAAGCTCATTTGATTATCTACCAGGTATGTGATAGGATCATTACACTGACCACTGATATAAGGGGGTCCTTCTCCCATCAGTCACCAATGTAAGGGACCACTACACTGACCACTGATATAAGGGGATCCTTCTCCCATTGGTCACCAATGTAAGGGACCACTACACTGACCACTGATATAAGGGGATCCTTCTCCCATTGGTCACCAATGTAAGGGACCACTTGACACTGACCACTGATATAAGGGGGGAACCCTTCTCCCTATTGGTCACCAATGTAAGGG